TGTTGACAGTGTCAACTTGTTTGATCTTTTTTAGAAAAAAAAATAATTTTCTTTTTTTTTCAATTAATTTTTATTGCTTTCTATTTGTCGAAGTTAATTATTACAATAACTGAGAGCAATAAAAAAGAAAAAAAAGGAGAAAGCTACTGAGAGTAAAAGTACTGTGAAAATGGTTATCAACGAATGTGCTGTTTGCTGAATTTCTTCTTGATGCTTAGTTTGCTTAGTTCTATTCTTTTTTTTTTTTTGTTGCACTAATCTTTGTAGATCAATGGTCATTCTAAGAAATTTCATTCTTCTTTGGTTCATTGGTTGTGTTATTTACCAAAGTACTATTCTTCAACAGAAAGCAAAAAAAAAAAAATCCAATATATATATATTTTTATGTTTTTTTCTGATTTGACTTGATTCTAAAGTGAAACAGTCTGTCAATTGGTAAAGATGGAATGAGACAAAAAGACTATTTTTTTGGTTGCATTTAATTGAAAAATCAGTTTTTTTTAATGTCAATTGCAAATAATCTTAGAAACACTGAGAAAGAAAGGAAAAATTTTTTTTTTGTATTCAGACAGACAAAAAAAAACTTTTTAGAATAAAATGCATTTTTTCTCTTTTGCTTTTTGCTTTTTCAAATGCCACTCCGTAACTGAACTGTCATCAAGCAGCTGATCTACAATTCAGGAACATTGGGTTAGAAAGACTACAGATGATAAGGTGTAAGATGAACTGTTTAAAAAATTATTATCTGATTACTGTGACATATATTTCTTACTGTTTAACTGCTTTATTTCTACGGATGTCCAAAAAAAGCGGTTTGAATTAGATTGGGTGTGTGGTTTCGTAATGTCGACTAACTGAAGCAAAGTCTTCCATTTTTAGAATTGTTTGTGGAAGTTGATCTGTAAGTGTTGTTAAATACTGCGATGCTTTTACAAAAGAATATGGACAAGTGTTTGAGTTTCATTTTTGTGCAGAGGTCAAAAGATCTGTGGCTATTGTGCAGAAAAGTCTGATATCAGTTGCCAAGTAGTTACGTTTTCAATTGATTTTATTGAATTTTTCTTTGTAGAATATTTTACAAAAAAATTGCTAGGACCTTGTAGAGTGTTATAGGAATTGGTGAAGGAAGGAAGGGCCTGAAACAGATATAACATTAGAACGATAATAAAACCATTTTTTTTCTTTGATCTTAGCTTAATTACTGACTAAATTTTGCAAAATCGGTCATTTTTTTTCGGCATTAATGTCTGTCTAAGTATCTGTTAAACAGATTGCAAGTAACAGTAACTGGTCAACTGATGCTTAAATCTTGGCATACATCATATCTTTTTCACTTCTTTTGTTTTGATACTGTTGTTGAGGAATAGAAAATGTAGACAAAATATAACTGTTGTCAGTTGAATCAACTAGGAAAAAAGTTTTTCTTTGGTGGAAATT